TCATTTGTTCAAACAGGCCACAAATTTGGCTTCCAGGAGAAGAGCAAACCACAGACCATTGACTACAATGCAGTCTGAGCCCTGTCACATGCACAATGGAGGACTTTCTCACAGCAATACCAGAGGCACTCCAAATGACCAGCTCCTAGTCAAAGGAAATTTAGCATAATGCCAAGTTCTTTTTTAAAACTTTGTTTGCTTTTCAATGCATTTTAACTGTACCCTCAACTTGCTATTGACATGATAAATAAAAATAATCCAATATGAAAAGTCAGTTTTATTAAAATAGGCTTGTAATGATAATGTGTGATGCATTTCTAACCTTACTGCTATGTTTTAAAATAATTTCACACTTTTTAATTTTAAAAAACCCAGGCTTTAAATTGGGGTTTAACTTCTTTACTATCACATTTTTTGCTTGTTCTAGCCCTTTTTAGCTGCCTTAGGTTCCATACTGTGAGGAAGGTAGCATTAAATAAAATAATAAATAATGCAACTTGGAAATCCCTGAGTAGACTCAGAAGTGGAGTTGAACACTGTGAAAGCCACCCACTACATGGCTACCAGCCTCCTCCCAGTAGACTCAAATCAAAGAAAAGCTTTATGAGAACTACCACTCCTCTTGGTGTCCCCCTAGCAACAGCAAGGATGTCCCTTTGGGCAGCTAGACCAGGAAATCCCAACTGGATGGCCCTCCATGAGGGTCTTCCTCCAGGGGCAAACCAAGAATGGGCAACTGGGAAGTCCCTGAACAGACTCAGAATTGGTGTGGGCAGATCAAAAGACAACCTGACAAAATGGTACTACCTAAAAGAATCCTACACCTTGTGTGACTGTGGAGCAGACCAGACAACTCCGCATCTGTATGCTTGCACTATGCCTTGCCTCATGTACAGAGGAGGAATTGTTGCAGGCTACAGACAATGCCGTTGCTATTGCCCATTTTTGGTCAAAACATATTTAGCCACCTGCGCACCTTCTATTTTTATCGGTTTTATCAATTTTATACTAATTTATGCAATACTTTTGACACTAAATAAATAAATAAAATGCATACAGAAATAAAGGCTCTACGTTCAACCCCTTCTTTTACAACAAAATCAGCTGGCAAATGATGAGAAAGACCTTTTCTTAAGAGAGAACCGGCAAGAGTTTACAACATGAAGCTAATGAGGGAGACAAAGAATATAGCAGAGTTATAATAGCTTTCTCTTTTCATTTCTAAATTTTATGCAACTTACATCCCTTTCAATACAAATAGCTTTGACAAGCATGGATCATTTACCCCTTTTGTTGATGTTTGGAATTTTCTGACATGTTTTTGTCTTGCTTTATAGTGATTTCTACATGTTTAACAAAATCAAAGTCAAAAGGTGCCATGGCTCAGGGGAAGAATTATACTAAAGTCATAGCTGAAAACTGTTCCTGCTCCACCAAAGAAAATTGCTTCTGAGAAGTGTCCTTTGTAATGACAGTCACAGTTGGACAGATCTTATTTCCTCCACAGGACTTCTCTGAGTAAAGGATTTCCCAGTTAGAACTACTCCGGTGAACACATACCAAGCCAACCGTAATTAGTACATCAAATGAAATGAGAGGCATGAAATGTTTTTGAGCTACAACTTAAATGCTCTTCCTCTGTTCATCTCTCTTTTCCTATCTGTTACTCTTAGTAAAATATGACAGAAAGTGGCAGTATAGCAATCAGAATACTAGACAGGTGAATAATAACAGGGGTTTATGTAAGAAGAAATGGAGAAGATATAAAATTTGAAGCTGTTAGAAGAGAAAAGAAATAGATTTTTACAGGGTGACTAGATATGGGTAGAAAACTATGAAATAGATCACAAAATCATACTTGAATCTCTTATGTGTGTAATTATTTAAATTGCTCAGTAAGGATAAAGAACTGCTGCAATCTTTTCTGCACTTTTAAATGTTCACCTTTGAGAACAGAGAAACCTGCTGGCATACTCTGATAAATGGAAGTGCTGCTGGGACACTCCTTTAACTGATAAAGACTGCTCTGTAATTTGGGTCTATCTCTAGTTCGTGCTGGATCTCAGACATTTAAAGATTTGTAGCACATTGATCAAGAATTTTTAGCACTTAAATACAATACTAAAAATACTTGACCTTGGGACAGAATATGTTGTAGAATCCCAGGGCCAGTTGGAGAATCACATTAGATTCAAATGACTAGTTCCTTGGATCATGGAAGTAAAGAGTTAATGGAAATAAAGCAGCTATCTCTATAATCCCTTTGGTTTTCCAAGGAACAGCCTCTCATATTGTAGGGCACTTCCAGACAGCACCAAAACATGGGACAAAAAGAGGGTTTTTAAAATGCAGGGCCTCAAAGGGAGTCCAAACACAGACCTGTCAATTACATTACATAGTTCCCCAGCATCTTCATGACTGTTTTTTCAGGCAGATTAAGATGGAGCACAGACAAAGGACATCCGGTGGATGTTTTTTTTAAAAAATTCAGTCCAGAAATGCACATATGAGGTCCAGTGCATAACGGAGCAATTTCTTTCTTTTTTTTTTTTTAAAAAAAAAACTTCCCTCAGATCTTTATTTTCCCCAATTGCTAATTCAAGCTCTGTTTAATATTACAAAGTTAATTAGAATTTGAGAGAGTTGTATTTGCTTTCCAATTGTGCTTCCCTGAGCCACCTGTGTCTCTGTTTGACAGCTGATCAGCTGTTTTAGGCTTTTCAGAAATGCACATGCTCTAAAGGAGTTCACACGAAGGGAAGGAAGGAAAGCATGTGCTTTCCATGCCTGCTGGAAAGGCATGAAAAAATAAGTGTTTTTCAGGAAGAATCGGGTTTAAAGGGCAACCTTTAAACACATATTTTCCAGCCCTTAACCTGATTACTCCCACACTTCGACTAAATGTCATTTAGCCACCCTCCCTTTTAACCCGCTTCCTCTTGAGTTTTAATGCATGTGTACCTTTCAGGCAAACACCCAGACACCCAAACCACACTCCAAAAGAATTTTTAAAATTACTTACCCGGCTGCGATTCAGCTGCTACTTGATCTTTCCCGGCACCTTATTTCTATGTGCTGGGGGTGGGGTTAGGAGTGGGGGTGGGGAGATGAAAACTGCTCTTTACCATGTGCCAATTCTACATGCCAGAAGAACTCTGGCAACAATTTAATAGTGACCAGGTAAGTAATTTTATTTTTAAGTCTCTTTTGGGGGAGGGGGTTGGTACCCTTGGTGTTTTTTGGGGCTGATTTAGCCCAGAATACCCAAGAGGGCTGTGGAGATGGACCCCTTGGAGTCCCAGGATTATCAAGGGATCCATCCTCACAAGGCCCATACTACATTAGACACGGGTCTTTCAGGAAGACCTGGGTGTAATGAAGTATTAAATTAATTTGGGAGAAAGCAGGGTTTTCCTGCTTTGTCCTGAATTAATTTGGATTTATCAGAGACATTGTATGGACACCTCCAGTAAAACTGTGGGAACTCCCACATTATGAGCCCTGTGTGGAAGGGCCCTTAAATCAACAAGTCTATTTCTCTAGCAATACCGGTTGAGTATCCCTTACCTGAGATGCTTGAGATCAGAAGTGTTTTGGATTCTGGGTTTTTAAGGAAAGTTTTTTTTTTTGCGTATATTTGCTTGTATGTACATGATGAAATATCTTGGAGATAAGATCCATGTCTGAAAACTAAATTCATTTATACTTCATACACACCTTATATGCATAGCCTGTAGGTAAATGCATACAATTTTAAATGATTTTGTGTGTGAAACAATGTTTGCATACACTGAAAAGATGTCACTATTTCAGCCATTTTGACAATTTTGGACTTTTTTGGGGTTCCAGAATTCCAGATAATGGATGCTCAACCTGTAACTGATGACAATGGGAAGAGAATTACAGAGATCAGAAGTTAAAAGAATAAATATTGTATTGCTCATAAGATGAACCTCAACACGCATGAAGAAGCATTAAATGTACTGTTGAGGGTTACAGTGATCCTGGCCCCAAGTATGCAAGGTAAGAGTAGAGACATGGCTCTAACTCACATATAGCTTATCAATTCTCCCTCTTCTTGTGTGTAGTACCTCAAATCCCCCATTTAGTACCCCTACCTGACCATTTCTGGTTTTTTTCATCTAATTTCAACTATTTGAAATTAGACGAAATTCTCCATTGTGCAGAACCTCCATTGTGCAGAACCTCAAAACATGGGATTTTTGCACTCCCCCTTCCTGAAACATGGCTCAAAATCAGCACAAACTGAAAGTGCAATTATATCACTGTGGATTTGAAAATTCATCAGCATGGAGAACATGGGGGAAAGAATGGGTTCATGCTGCAGGCAAAGTTACCTACCCCTGATTTATGGCTTTATGTCAAGAAAAAGGCGTTTTGGTCTGGCAGCTTATTGGGTTTTTTTCCATCACTTAATAATAGATCATTTTAACTAGAAACACCAGAAAATGAACTCAACACCTTCTGCATGTGCTCTGCTACTGAGCTATGTGATTCCTGTCCATAACCCTATTACGAATTCTGCAAAACCTACCCTGTGCTGAGAACCAATCTGAAGACTCTGTCATTGTTTCAGTGTGATGCAATACAAATATGTCACCTATAATGCCAGTTGTCACATGCTGACACTTGTCTCTGAGGGTATTATGTGTATTATTATCTTAGTCAGTCCAACACAGCAGAATAATGGAAGCTATCTGTATAAGAAAGTATTTCTTGGGCCTCATCTAAAGTTCTTGTTTCATTATCTCAGGCAAAAAACTCCCAAAAATGCTAAATCTTCAAACAACAGCTATCCAATTTGGAATAAACAACCACTGTAAGAGAGTGCACAATGAAATATTTGCCTAGAACAAAACCTGCACCCACATTAGACTGAATTCGTTATTAGGTTTCTACTTGGTGCTTAATCTTTGCCTGTCTGCTGCTGCTGCTAATAGAGTCTTTCTGAAAAGACAGGAAGATTATTAAATACCAACCAACTAGGATGGAATAGAGGATCCCAGGCCGATCAGAAGAAGGCTGGATGTTTCGGTCCTGATCTATAGCTTGTATTGGTGGCGTGACATTGATAGGGTTCACACGTAGCTGTAATGAAAATCAAACATGTTACAATGGAACGTTTGCATGGGGGGTTACCTAACATTACCTAACATTAACTCTTGTTCCTATGTGTATTGACGATCTATAAAATAATGTCCTGCTTCTGGATACAAGAATTTGAAATACTGAATTCTAGTTACAGGACCCAGTTTTTGCCTGGGTTCAGACCCACTATCTATACCAGGGGTCCTCAAACTTTTTAAACAGAGGGCCAGGTCATAGTCCCTCAAACTGTTGGAAGGCCAGATTATAATTTGAAAAAAAGCATGAATGAATTCCTATGCACACTGCACATATCTTATTGGTAGTGCAAAAAACACTTAAAACAATACAATAATTAAAATGAAGAACAATTTTAACAAGTATAAACTTTTTAGTATTTCAATGGGAAGTGTGGACCTGCTTTTGGCTGATGAGATAGGATTGTTGTTGTTGTGTGCTTTCAAGTCGTTTCAGATTTAGGTTGACCCTGAGTGAGGGCCCAGTAAATGACCTTGGAGGGCCGTATCCGGCCCTCGGGCCTTAGTTTGAGGACCCCTGATCTATGCTCATGCTGCTTTGCTTTTCTCCCCCGCTTTTTTCCTCCCTCACAATCGTTCTCTTTCTTTGTTCCAATATTCAGGCAACCTTTACAGCTTTGACTGAGTTAGAAACAACTTTTCCTTCTTGTAATAGAGAAATAAACAGCCAGCAGTCGAGGTTGGTTTGTGTAACCCTAAACGTTTTATCAACCATTAATCTCCATTTCTTTTTAAAGACCTCCTGTGCTGCATAGGATGGATACTCAAGAGGTTTCCCTAATAATGGAAATATCACATAGTTTGAAATAATGCTTGAGCCACCTAAAGTCAACCAATTGCTCAGCCCCAGGTTCTTTTTGTGACTGGTTTTGATCATAGAATTATAGAGTTGGAAGAGACTGCAAGGATCTTCCTGTTCAACCCCCTGCCATCTAGGAACACACAATCAAAGCACCTGCAACAGATGGCCATCTAGCCACTGCTTAAAGACATCCAGAGAAGGATACTCTACCACACTCCACTACAGCATATTCCACTGCCCTCACCATCAGGAAGTTTTTCCTAATGTTCAGGTGTAATCTCTTTTCCTGCAATTTGAACCCATTGCTCTATTGTGTTCTTGTCTCCAGAGCAGCAGAAAACAAGCTCGCCCCCTCTTCAATATGACATCCTTTCAAATGTTTAAACATAGCTCTCATGTCCTCTCTCAGCCTTTTTTTTTCAAGCTAATCATACCTTGCTCCCTTAGCCATTCCTATTAAGGCTGTTCAGAGTTATAAAGGTACTTTATTCTAACAGACCGAGCCCATGTGTCTCAAATGCCTGGAGCCTTTCAAGTACACTATAGGAAGTGGGAAACCTGGGAAATGGGGAGAACTAAAAGTCTCTGTTGAGTCTCCCAGTTTATAGGCTGAAAGAGAAATAGTTCCCACTCTTATATGATCCAACTATTTCCTACCACTGGGCTCAAATTGCCTGGGACATTATGGGACAGTGACTCAGCTAGGTGAAAAGCTACACCCTCCTCTAGGTTGCTGTCAATTTTCTTCATCATTGCTACACTTTCTACTTGCCTTCCAGTTATGGTAACATCAACTTGATGTTTCGTTCTTTATTTAAATTACACAAAGACAGCAAGAGGAGAGGAAATATTGTTTCTGTCATGGCATGCCTTCATATCATTTCCAACTTATGGTGACTCTAAAGGATAAGGACCTTATCACAAATGCCAGGTGAAGTGTTGAACTTTGCCTGGCTTTGCCAAAAAAAGAGGAGCACTGGGGTGAATCCATTGTCCTGCGCACAGCTCCCTCTCGGCAACAGTTCCCCACCACACATGGGAAGCATCACTTGAGGATCTGTGCTGCCTCCATTGGAGCTAGCACAACACAGGTAGGTTCCTTTGTTGGGAAGAAAGTGTCGTACAATATTTTCACTCCACTTGTGGGCAGGGCCTCCACTGGAAGTCCAGCCACACATTGTAGGATGGGCAGCATGCCATCTGTTGCTGGACTGCCAGTGAAGCATCCTACAATGCTTAACAAGCCTTGTTGATGAGGTTATAATTCTTGACAAGATTTACTTGGAGGGAGGTGCCTTTGCCTTCCCCTGGGGCTGAGAGAATGTGGATCACCCAAGGTGAATTTTCATGTCTGAGTGAGGATTTGAACTCTTCTCTCTAAAGTCATAGTCCAACACTCAAAGCATTAAACCATACAGACCCTTTTGGAGCAAATATTGTCAGTATTCTTTTTAAAAAGTGTTCATAGTGACAGGTTGGAGGAGCATTCTCTGTGAATAATAATAATAATAATAATAATAATAATAATAATAATAATAATAATAATAATAAATAAATAAATTTTATTTATACCCCGCCACCATCTCCCCAATGGGGACTCGGAGTGGCTTACATGAGGCCAAGCCCAAACAATAAAATACAACCGAAAATGCAAACCGAAAATGCAAACAAAGCAAAACATCATAATTACATAAAACATATGAATAAATAATGATATAAAATTGGATATGAAGAAATAATCTCTCCTACCAGTCCTATCACTCTGACATTAAATTTATCATTGTCTTTCATTTTGCCAAATTTATTTCTCATTTTAGATTGCAAGCATCAAGTACCATTGGCTAAGAGTTAAAACTATCTGTTCACATTTTCAAAGACTGGACTTCTCATCCTAGCTATCACATTCTATACAAAAATTCAATGCCGTTTTCATATAGTGTCAAATGATGTGAGTATAAGAAAATATTTAATTGGCTGGTAAATTCTGCATAAACGATGTCCATCACCAGTATATTTCAAAACTTATGAAAAATAGCCTTTCCATCAGCTATTATCTATGGGCTATGGTGAGATGGTACTTTTTATTTATATGTGACTGATCAATGGTTACACCTCTCCTTATTCTATAAAGTGGCACATAGGAAAGATCTTTTTAAGATGGTATTTAAATCTGAAGTTACTTTAACTATATTCCCACTGTAACAATACATATAGACTACTGTCAAAAGCAGCAGCACAGCCAGGAGAACGAATTGCCTAAAGAAAGATTTAAAGCCTATGATTTTATACACATTTTTTTCCTGCAAGAATAGTTCGCTGTTATTCAAAGTATGCATGAAAATGAGCTATAAATTTCAAAAGTGGGGAAACCAAAGCTTTTAAAATAGCAGGTTTCGCCCCTCTGAGTCTGGTATTATATACTTGTCACAAAATATGACAAGATGATAAACTGTGAAGTGTTTATTTGGAGGCAACACATTGAAACACATATGCTATAACTTAGCAGACGCTTCTCGCAATAGTGCTAGATTTAAATTTCATTGGAGAATTAAATATTTTAAAGATCAGCCATTATTTCCCCTTAAAAGTGGTATTAAAAGTGGAATTAAAACACCACACTGATTAACATTAGATTTTTTTTAGTACGCATTTGCTTCTGAGGAAATGCTGACATGCTCTGTCCTGGGTTGCATTAGTGAGAAAAAAAGGGAAAGGGGCAGAGTTAAATTGCTTGATCAAGACGATTTATATGGAAAGAAACAATGCGAAATTGAGAAATTAATGCACCCATTGGCTAGTACAGAAACAGATTTATTTTCTGCATTTTCCTCTGATTACGGATGGAATCATCTGAAATGTATCCTTTATCTCATAAAAGAATTGGGTTTCTTAACTACTGAATTACTTCTAGCCATGAGGCAAAGATACTGTTATTGCATATATAACCACACAGATGCAATGAAAAATAAAATAAAAACACTGTGCAAATATATTTTTAAAATAGTGTTAGTGGCATTCTTTTTTTTTTAACAAATAAAAAGCAACACTCGCCTTTCTGCATTCAACAGATACCAATGAAACCATATATAACTAATATCTAGATTTCATTATATGGGCACTTCTATGCAGTGTGCATAAAATGTAACATAAAAAATCCACAGGTGTACTTTAACACTACAATTGCTGTAACGGTATTTTAATACTACACCCATTTGCATTTTTATTCCTTTTTTCCCCCTTAAGCATCTTTGTTACAGAAGCCACAGCTCTGAGAGAAAGTTGGGCTATAAATGAGATGCATGCAAGCATCATGAAGAAATCTCCTACTAGGACTTCATCACATACAACTAAATAAGTATTTCAAATCCAATTCATTATCAATTGATTCCCAGAATATCCTTCTTACACCTTTCTCCCTTCCATTTTCTTTTTTTCCTCCCCTTCCCCTCCTTTTTCTTTTTTTCTTTCAATTCTTCCCTGTCTTCTTAATTCTCCTTTCTTGCATCCCGTCGCTTCTGACCTTTGCTCAGTACTTTCTTAGCTCTCCACTTCTGCTCTTCTGCCCTTATTTCTTTGTTCTCCTGACGTATCACTCCTGTCTCTCCGCCTTTTCTCTTGCCTCACACACTTTCTACACACTTAAGAAATTGCCACTGATGATACCCTTCACATGACACAAGCTTCAAATGTGGGGTAGAGGTGTCTTGCTATTTTCAAAGTGTGGGTTCCCCCCCCCCACAATTACTGAGTCAATCGGCAAATGACTTATTTTTCAATTTTCTGCATAGAAACGTGTAAAATGCCCAATTTAATATGTATCTAGTTGAAGGATATTAAAGGAAACGATCCCAGAAAAAGTGGCTTCTTAAGACTGTTGCCTTAACTCAGGTCTAATTGAAGGATATTAGGAGAAACAACCCCAGAAAAAGTGGGTTTTTAAGACAGATGCCTTAGGTCTGGGTATGAGGGCAAACAACAGGGGAGGAGACAGTGAGAGGAGACATATGTCTCATGTGTGATGGAAAATTAAATGGATAAATCTTAAAGAAAGCAGAGAAAATAATTAGGTGGGATGACGGTAGGGAAATCTTCAGTTTAATTTCAAAATGGGGCATGATGAAGCTTAAGGGAAAACCAAAGATTTACTTCATTTTACTTATCTG